ATTTAGTTCTCATTCTTCTAAGGGTTTTGTTGCTGGGTACAGGATGTAACTGCAATACATAAAATCCAAACAAAGCACAACATAGCTTGGTTTGCCATAAAACAACCTGCTCATGTCTAGACTTCCTACTGACCACCCATAACCAAAACAAACAAAAAAAAAATCCACCACCAAAAACACCCCCAACAAAAGCAAACAAAACCCCCTCACAAAACCAAACCCACAGAAAATCTCCCACCCAACGATCCCTCAGTGTTATCATTCTATCATTCCAACAAATGTGAAAAACTAAGATTTCTTTTTTCCCCTCAACTAGTCTGTCAGCAAACAATGGAAGAGAACTGTATTTTACTTTCAAAGGGCTTTCGGGATTGCAGCCCTAATTCCCCACTGAAAGCACAGTACGATACTTCAACGCCACCAAGCAGAACGAGCACCAAATGGAAGACTGGTTTCCCATAGCTGTCATTTCCAATGTAACCCAACCATTAAACTAAATAGTATTAAAGCTGTAATTTTATTTTTTTTCCTCAGCTTGTCTTTTATGCATGTCAATGGTCCCATGCAACACACCCAGCTCCCACTTCGTGCTCCATCCAGCTCTGCGGTCAGCTGGACAAGAGGCATTGGGGCTGCCTGACGCACAGCAACCCCTGTGTGGATGAGGCAGTTCCCTTTACAGCAATTTTTCACATCCCAACAGACCAGACCCACAACCGGCCATTTGGTGCCTCTGTTGCAGATGAAGCCAACCAGATCACCCGCCCCTCACTCTGCAGAGCTCAAATGGCTCTGGGGCAACACGTTGCACAGGAATGTTCTAGGAACTTCTCTTTGAAATCTCTTTCATCCTGCTATATTTGCTAGAAACTGGTTAAGATTCAAAAGTACTTAAGAGAAGAAATGAGATGTATGAGCAAGACAGGATGACTATATGCATGTATGAAAAAAGAGGCTAAAATTGAAAAAAAAAAATAATTAATAAATAGGAAAATGACTAGGATAGCAAGTGTCATGCCAAAAATAATGTGGCTTGAACTCAGAAGTTTGAAGATTTTTTCCAACTACATTTATCAAACCAATATAAAGATATATTATATTCCTAGAGATCTTGCTTTATTCTCCTTTCAAATTATCACAGTGCCACCACAGCTAACACCATCAAACAGTGCTCCTAGTGTCATTTGCAGGAAACAGCAAATAGGAAGGTGGCAGCAGGACACAGAGTAAAGTGTGAAGAGGTTAGGACTGTGAGGTAAACCTTAACAGTATGTTGCTCCTATAGTAATCAATAATAGTGAAATTTCCCACCCCTCCCATCCCAAGTTATGGCCAGTTGATTGGGGAATTAATTGTACTTTTCTGACGAATGGGGCAAATTCAGCTTTGAAGTATCGCCTCTGAAGGTAACACTGCCCTAACTGTCAGGTTACACAAGGACTGTTTTCTTTTCAATCAGAAGGGCCATTCCCCACCCCCACCCCCACCCTTAATGTAGGCCTGAAGGCCAAGTAATTTTCAACAGCACCGATGTTCTTGCCAAAGTTTATGGCAACAGGATAACAGAGCAGCCAAGAGTTCTTATAGTAATTTCCAAGTCTTAACTGCAGCAATGTTAAAAACCTGCAAAAGCAGTAATTGATTTTGAAAAAACATTAGGGGTTGATTTTATGCTTGTTAAACAGCACTCTAGTAATTATCTTGATCATCAACATCTTAAAATAGTAAAAATTAATTTTGTGCTTAAATTGCTTACATAAAATATAGATGATTTATGTTAATGCTCTAAAATTGTGAAAAACATGGAACATATGACCTTCAGACTCCCATCTTCCCCCTTTGCCTGAAGACTCTTACTGACAATGACTCATGTGTTGGCAATGGTTTATTCTTAGCAATTAGACTTAACATGTATGTTTAAATACCATCAAAAACATTATGATATTTCAAAGTACATTAATGCAATGTTGGTACAATCTGTGAAACCCAGAACAGTCACAAGCGAATACCAGATGAAAAGTTACTTCCACTTTCCGCCTCAGTGTCAAACAGGAAGCTCAAAGAGGGCTATGAATTACTTTATACAGAGCCCCAGGGAAAGGGTCTGTCCTCAAGGCCAGTCACTAGCAGGCTGGATCCTAAACTCCCATGATCATCCTCTAAAATCCTGGATCCTCTTAAAAACATCCACAAAACGAAAAAAGGCACAATAAGACCACTCTGTCTTTTCATTACTTTGAGTTAGTTTTCATTCTTTTGTGAGGAGATGAGATATTCTGTCTCAGAGAACAAGACAAGACATTCAGTGAAAACATCTTTTCGCACTCTTTCACCATCTCTCTTCCTCATTTTATTCTCGCCGTGCTTGTGCATGCACCACTGCACCAGCACCTCCTTTTGGTCTCTTCACTAAGGAAGTATTTTCTGACTTGCCTCTCATGTTCTTGTCACTAACACAGTTCTGGCTTAAGGGTTTTTTTAAACTTCAACTCAGGGATCGGTCAGACTGTTTTTTAAAGAAGCTACTGCCCTGCTTGTTCTACTTACTCTGCTCCTCCATTGATACTTTCTGATGTATAAGCTTGTATGTTCCAATCAGTAATACTTTGTTTCAAAACAAAATAGATCAGTCTCAGGACCCAATCATCAAATCCACAGCACATTTCAGTTCAGTTTTTGAACTGAAAACAGCTGAAACTGAGACCAAGTGCATTACCCCACTGGGTCTTTCCGCCCTTGCTCCTCGCTGTCGTTCTCTGCTAAGGATTGCAACCTCCACAGCAAAGGAACCAAACCAGAAACTCTACGTTAGGCGTTTCAGTTGATAATTCCACAGCAGAGTTTCATGTTATGTTTTGCACCAGAAGGGTCTAAGACAGCTCTACCCTCTCCTTCCCATTCATGCACTCCTGACATCTACCTTGCACTGGATCTAGCAACTGGGCAATCTCAAGTTGAGCTGGTTCAGACTTCTGATCCACCTCAGTCTGCAAACGGAAAAAAAAAAAAATAACTCGATTCAATGCAGCAGAGGTTGCCGAACAATACAATCAGGACTGCAAGGTGGAAAATGAGACAGCCTTTTAGCAACTCCTTGCTAATATATTGCTCTAAGGACAACGTGAAACTACCCATAACGCAACCCCCCACCCTGTCATCTTTATTTCATCATTCTTTTGAAGATCTTCAGTGTTCCAAGGTAAGCTGGTTTTGTTGCTGCCATTTGTTTTCTTAAGTGACTTAATCACGTTGCACATAAAAGCAATGGAATCGTGATAATTTTGCATTACAAAAGATAAACGTCTTTCTGTTTTTAAAATATGTCTTTAGTGTTTTTCCCATTCGTAGTTGATGTATTGAAAACTAAAAGCTCAGTATACTCAAAGTCCTTGTGATATTATTTATTCTGCGAAGTTGTGAAGATCAAACACAGTAAATTATTTAGATTTAGAATTCTCATAATATCTATTCAAATACTTGACTCAGTGATAGAACTACGCCCTTCATGGCACAGCAGGAAAAGGTTATTTATTTCTTGATCCATTTCTTCTATTAAAAGTTAAAATGCAGAAGATCCTTCCACTACTTGATTACAAGTTTACTACTTCCTTGTAAACTTACTCGTCTGTTCTGTCTCTAAGACTTCTTTGAAAATAAAACCAAATGTACTTCTTCAGCACTTTTTTTATTCCTCATGTATCACGACAGCCGATACTAAACCATGCCCAAGTACAAGGAAATAGGACCACCCAAATTTGCACATTCCCTTTCCCAACACAGCAATTGACGTCAACCTCCCCTTGCTCTCTTTTGCTGTTCATTGCACTGAATCTCTCTACACCTATGCAGTATCATCCTCTCTAATCACAATCTCCAACTGCACCTGCCTCTGTAGGTGAGAGCTTGGTCTCTGGATGAAAAAAGGAAGCCTGATGAGAGAAGTGCTTCCCATTATCACAAATACTGAAAGGAAAAATTAAGAGTAACACTATTCTTTCAAGTCTTGGACAAGTTGATTCCTATAGCCTCACAAATACAACTTCCAGGAAAACAATCTGCCAGTAAAAGGAATCCACAAGATTCTTGAAAACAGAACATTTAATGTTTTCAGTAGTTTTAGGAGAGATTAATATGCAGAAATGTGTTTATAAATCACACTTAATTACAAATTACAAAATTCTCAGCCCTGCAGGTGTATTTCCCAGCACATGAACTCCATTAAAGAACACTTCCTTTTTCCAAGACACACACACCTAAATTTAGAGTTCAGGAAGGAAAGAACACGGGGATAGAGTAGGTAATGGAAGGAGAAAAAAAACAGGCAAACACATTGAACGGAGGGAGATAAAATCACAGATTACAATCTGAGACCAAAAATGCAAGCAGTAAAAAAAAATTTAAAGGAGTACAGAAGAAACAAAGTGCTGTAGTAACACAAACCTTTTCTAACTGATTAGCCAGAAATTCTTGCCTTAGAAGCTAACTCTCAAACCAGGAAACACAAGAATGATTAACTGCTAGAAAAGTAGAAATGATGTAAAAAATTGAAATGAGAACATTATTTTTCAAAAAAAATATTTCTATTTTTAATAATATTTAAGAACTTCGTTTACAGCAGTGCAGCTGGGTGGGGGCTCGGGGAAAGAACATAGAGAAATTCAAGCTGTTCATTCTTCTATTCTTTTTTTCCTCCAACTTTCTGTACATCCTCAACCTCCCCACAAAATGTACTACTTTAATGAGAGCCCTACACCAAATTTCTGAACTTCTGGAGTATCAGTGCTCATCTATAATTTTGCTGGGCTTTTCTGAGTATTTCTAGCACCGAACACACCTCAAACCCTTCCCTTACTCTGTTTTTAGACTAAGATACTTCATACTGAAGCACTTCTAATTCTAGATAGTATTTAACTGCAATAAACTTAGGCATCACTTGCAGTTTCAAGATGCAACACAACTTGTAATAAATGTTAATTCGATTTGAAAGGACTTAAACCTACCTTTAAACTAGACTCATAGTCTGTGTTCACTTTGAACATAAGCCCAAGTCGCAAATGAATTTCCTTGGCTCGACAAAAGCTGGGATCAACATAAAGCGCCTCCTGAAATGCTTTAATTGCCCTGAAAGAAAAACACAGATTAAAAAATTATTTTTAACTGAAGTATTACTTTGTAATGATCCATGTTATTTATCTGACTAGCAGAAAGTGGGTCAGAAAGCACTGTTACAGAAGAACGTATCAAAATAATGGTTTACATGCAATGTTCTTGGTGCATGGCTTTTGATTCTTCAAGGACTGGGTAATTTTGTACTCCAGATATCCTGGTATATTTGAAAGTCTAATCTTTTCCATTAATTTAGAGAAAGTAATTTGCTGCATGAAATACAGTAACGTAGCTCCTACTTCAGAAAGGGTGACTCAGGAATTGGTAACAAAATTAGCGCAACTTTAGAACAATAAGGTGATCATTCATGTCACCACCAATGGCTAGGTTGCTTTTGATCCCAAGTAGTGCAGACCCCCGAGAGCAGCAGCAGAACAGAAGGCCCAGACAGAGCTCACGCGTATCTCCTCCCACTGCACCAACCCGCTCAGATTTCCACTTTGTCCTCCCTTTCTTAGCACGAGCACCATGTAGGGACTCAACTAATACCTATTGCTCCACTACTTTCCAGTCACTCAATCACCCGCAGGAAAATACAAATACGAAAGCCTGCCACCTCCTCCCACTCTAACTTGCTTTTCATGTTTCCCATGATAGGTGAAAATGGCTCCGATTCTATTTCCTTACCTTTTAATCCTCTCTACACTTGCCCCTGTTCGTGATGGCACTGTACCAGATAAAACAAAAATGCTGTGTAACAACTGTATCTTGGAGCAGAAAAAAACTTGATTCTAAACAGAACTGTTTTGCCTCTCAGGCCAACTGCATAAAATTAGGACAGCTGAAATATAACTAAAAGGTAACAGATTTAAATTCACAGCGGAACTGAGGAAGAAGCTAAGACCCCTTGGATTAGCTCTCCTGAACCCAATGACAGGTTGAAACAGAATACCTTCACGTACAATGTACAATGACAGGAATCAGAACTGGTCTCACTTAGGGTAGATTCAAGCCCCTAGGCCAGGGAGCACAGTCCCATTTGCTGTTCTAGGCAACCCCAGAGATCGATGCTGAGCAGACCGATGACAAGCAAGCCTATGGTGAGAACTGTACCCACTGTGGAGCAGCACAGAGACACTGGATGGGAATTAACCACAGCGCCTAAAATTATACAATGTTTAGCCAAACTGTTTTCATTCGTACTCTCCATGTATAGTATTATTTGTAAGGACAAAAGGTTAGTAGCTGCAACGGGAAATTCAACAAATATTTTTCATAGACTTTTTTATTCACAAAGCATGTAAATTATATTTAATCCATCAGCAAAAACACTTCCGCTTTAAAATTTTTACAGGCCCTTTTCACATTCTTGATGGCAAAGCAAACCAAAGGCACAGAACTTCCTCTAGACGATGCAACAAAATTGTTTGTACCTAAAGCATTATCTGACTTGTTTAAACAGAACTTGAGAGCAGCTGGGCTTAAAAAAAAATTACATTTTTATTGTGGAACTGAAGCTTCCTCTAATATAGTCTTTCAGAAAGGCTTTCCTTACCTCATACCCTAGTCTTCTCCTTGCAGAAGCAAAACAAGCAAATGAAGCACAGAAGAGACAAACTTGCACCGGCTAAGTAGTCTCTCACATCTCATCAGAACTCCCCTGGAATAGTATGGGTGGTGATGAATCACACACCACAGTATCTCCACTGAAAACATAACAAACCAGGACCTATGTCTCATAACAGTATGCTCATCATCACCTACAAGAACACCACTCATACTAGAAGGCCAAAGACTGCACGCATCATTAAATATCGGTACAGGTTTTAAGATATGCTTTTGTTATGCCAAAGTATAGATTTTATGATTGCATATTTGAATTTCTTGCCTTAATGCCAATATGGTACTCAAGATGTTAGCCACTGGTAATTAAAATCAATTACTTACATCTTGTCCAAAGACAGTACCCTAAGTTCTAAAAAGGAAGAAAACCAGTGTCTATGGTCCCTATCAAAGAGGAGACAAAAATCAGGAATAAAGACATCACAGTTCTATACCACTTGGGAGACTGTGACTACGCCCATATACACTTTGTGAATTTCACATTCTTCACATTTTAGCTTGCTTGGTCAGAAAACAACATTTCTGTATTTCCCCTATGTCATGTCTCAGTCGCAAAGATCATTGAAATGTGGATTTCTAAAAAAGTTTAAGAGAAACTGTAAGGGACAAAACATTTTTCTAGTCTCTTGCTTACTGAACAGGAAATCTTATTCATCGCTACAGCTGAGCAATAGAGTTAAACAAGCCACAAATAAACAACTTTTAAGGACAGTTTTGAAATTTAGTTTGAATGTATACTGTCATTCATTCAAAAGAAGAAGAATGTTGCCTACCCTAGTCTTTCAGAGGAGTACTGCACTTAAAAACCTGTAAAATTATCAGTGGACGACATGAAAAGACTGTGTCGCGTTTAGCACAGAACCTGCTGGTCACAGACAGCCCCTATGAGGTTTGCGTAAGGCTTATCTCTGTGCAGGCAACACCATTCACCCTTGTCTAAGCTGCTTGCGGAGTCACGTTCAACATTAGTAGTTATCACAAGTCTTTGAGATAACATTATAAACCAACACAATTTTTCCAATGAAGATAAGTCCAAAATGTACAAGGAGAAAGAAAATTCGTAGGACAAGACATCATTCCTCTAGATACAATCTATGCGGGAAGTAACAGCATGCTTTTCAACTGTTTTGACGGACACTTGGAAAAATATAACCAATCAACCGAGTCAAAACAAAAATCTCTGTACCCTTTTAGACACTGTTCGAGTTACCATGCTAACAGCTAAATAATAATATTCTTGCTGTACATTTCAGTTGTATTTGATCACTCCTAAACTGCTGGTTTCAGGAGGAAAGGCAGCGATGTTTCAAAAGGATTATTTCCTTGAAAGGTTAAAAAATTCAAAGGAGCGTAGTCAGGGAGCATTGATTGCTCCCATCCATTGCATTGATTTGGCAACAGAATGGACACACTGCTAGAGAGTTTGGTGAAAGCCTCTCCACTTAGCATTTTTCTTCCAGTTTCTAATACGTGATCAATTTACATTTAAGAATGAATCCATATGCACTCAAAATGCTAGGAAACTCCCGGGTCATTGTCTTGCTTGCATCTTAAATTCTGTATCCTTGGATGCCATAACGAAAACTAAGAGAATTCTGAAAAGTAACAAATTTATAATGAAGCATAACTGCATCAGTAAATTAAGGGGAAAATGTTGTAAGAATACACCAAATGTTCCCCAAACCAGCTTTTCTAACCAAAAATCAGGTATTTTTATCTTCTCCATTCAAAATACTGGCCTGTATCTTACTTAACTCTAGTGTTACTTTGGTATTGGTTATGCAATTTGTTGTTTTTCCTGGATTACAACAACTGAAAATAACCAATACAAATTACTTCCACTACTTCTGTGAAAAAGGACATCATCAAAATTTCACAAATAAAGTGATCTGAAAGGCATCATTCTCAACAATTTTTACCAGTGGTAGATGCTAATTTGGTAACTACAGCCTGATTTTAAATAGTCAGCAGAATTTTCATAGAATAAAACACCCAAACTCTGAAAAGACATTTACTAACTAATTCTTACAGACAGACAAGCAGTTCTACACCACAGCTGAATTAATACTGATCTAATTTTGCTTATGGAAAACTTTCAAACAAAACAGGAACGCACTCAAGATTACAGGACACCTCAAGAATATGGACTACAGTAAAAACTTGAGTTTTATTCTAAGGCTGTCCCGTTTCCCAGTGCCATGCTCAGAGCTCCAGACTCAGTCCCTACTACATCAATAGCAAAACATCTGCAACGTCAGTGACATCCATTTCAGTTGTAAGCGCACAGTAACAACCAACACAGATGGCATCAAGGCTTGGTACAGGTTGTTACAACACAGAAGGAAGTGGAAATTGAAATAGGAAGCAGGAGCAAGCGTTGTAGTAGTAAAGGGAAAGGAGAGAGAATGCGGTCCAACATGGGTAACTGCAGTCCTTCCTTGCCCATCTGTTTGCCTGAGTTGGGCCTTCCGGATACAGCAGGAGTCACTTGATCCTTGTACAGATCTTTGCTCTGAAACATCACTAATCCCATTTCTGTCCTCTGTCCCAGCCTACATCCAGAAACATACGGGTCTAGAGGATCCAAGGCATCCCAGTTATTCAGGTGTTTTCCCTCAAAGCTCTTCTACGGTTTGAACAAAACCAGAAGAGCAGATATAACCTAACAGCTTGATGGCCTGTCACATATGAAGCAGGACTTTGCTTAAGAAGTTAACAGCTTCCTTCAGAGATGATGGCACACAGCGCCTTCCTCAAGTAGGCTGTTAGTCTCCACCACTGATTAACTGGCCTTCATGCACAGACAGAGCTTTCCATTTTAATCCTTCAGCAGACTAAACATACATTAGTCCAAAGGATAAATCATCGAATGAAGGGCTGGGAGCTCTCGTACTACAGAAATAAATGACAGTTGTCTAAATTCAGCAAGAGAAGACTTTTGGTTTGTTCTCTGAAGATACTGACAACTGCCTGGTAAGACACAACTTTGGTTGAGTCTACTAGAATTTATTTAAATTAAATAAGAGTTTTCTCCAAGAATGGGAGCATTTCCACTAACAAGCAGGAAAGGCTATTTAACACTCAACAAAATAGGAAAGCATAACAACTGGAAAACAGACACTGTGGAGGATGAAAAGCACCTCTGGGCTTACATTTCACACAGTGCTGCTACAGTAATTCAGTAAAAATAAAAATGACACGAGTCTATCATCTCCAAATCATGACTTCCAAAAATACTGCAGCTATCTTCCCACCCACTCATCTATACAACAATGCCTACCATTATGAAAGTGAAGAAACCAGCTGAATAATAACTAATAGAAGATTATATTAAACATTTAGTAAACTCTCATAAGACTTTTAGTTGAAGTTTTTACTTGGATAGACTGTGA